AGCAGGATATCTCAAAAGTTAAAAAACAATTTTATTTTTTATTTTTACTATAGGTGTCTCTCAGCCTAACTTAGATCCTGAATTGCATTCCGGATCCAGGATTTTTTATAAAGGATTGTATCAGTTACTATTATTATCATCATTATCTTTATTATCTCCGCCAAGGAGGTTATGTTTACGGACGTCACCAGTGTACTTGAGAAAGATATGATTTTAATGTAAATCTTCAAATGTGAATATTTTTATTGCACCAGAGATTTGGCGGAGGCATGCGCTCTCTGAGTGCCTCTAGATATTATTATCATCATCATTATTCTTACTACTGTTATCCCTCCCTCCCTCCCCCCCTCTCTCTCTCCCTCCCTTCTTCCCTCTCCCTCTCCCTTCCTCTGTCCTTCCCTCCTTCCCATCTCTCTCTCTCCTTCCTCCCTCCTTCCTCTCTCCTCTCCTCCTCAATCCTTCCCCCTCTCCATCTCCTCCTCTGTCCTTCTCCCTCTACCTTCTTACCTCCTTCCCCTTCTCTCTCCCTTCCTCCCCCCTTCCCCTTCTCCCTCTCCTCCTCTATCCTTCTCTCCTTCCCCCTCTCTCTCCTTCCCCCTCTCTCTCTCTTCCCTCCCTCCTTCCCCCTCTCCCTCTCCCCTCTATCCTTCCTCCCTCCCCCCTCTCTCACTCCCCCTTCCTTCCCCTCTCTCTCCCTCCCTCCCCCCCCCTCTGCTGTGAAAGAAGTAGTAGTAGCAATAGTAATATATTTCTGTTATTAGCATTGTTATTATTGTCATTATTGTCATTATTTTCATTATTGTTATTATTACCATTGTTCTTATCAATGTTATTATTATTATCATCATCATTATTATTGTTATCATTATTATTATCATTGTTATTCAAATTACTAATATTATTATTATCATTACTGTAATCGCCATCAACATCATTATCCTTCTTATTACTATTACTACTACTACTATTATTGTTGTTGTTGTTGATATTACTTATATTATCCTTATTATCATTTTTATTATTATTGTTTTATTCTATTTTATCATTATTATCATCACTATTAGTATTAATATCCTTATCATTATTTCTATATCTATTATTATTAAAATTATTATTTCTATTATCATTATCATCATTGTTATTACCGTTGTTATTATCTTTATTATTGTTATTTTTATCATTATCATTATCCTTTTCATTATCATTATCATCATCATCATCATCATCATCATCATCATCATCATCATCATCATTTGAGTGCATTTTATAGTCTTACCCAGGACAATAAATATACGTATGCATAGACAAACATATATACATACATATATTTATATACATCTGTCATCATCATCATCATCATTATTATCATTATGGTCATCATCATTATTTCTGTTATTATCATCATCATTACTATTATCACTTTCATTATTATCATTAGTGTTATTATAATTATTGTTATCATTATTGTTTTTAATTATTATTACTGTTATTACTGTTATTATTATCATTATTATTTTAATCATTATTTACTTTACTATTACTAGCAGTATCATCATTTTCCTTATTATTAATACTACTATCATTACTATGATTATCGCCAGTAATAATGATAATATTATTATTACCATTATTACTGTTATTTTTGTTATTATTTTGATCACTATCATTATTATTATTATCTTCATTATTTCCATTGTTATATATTATCATTATTATCATTATCACCATCAGCATCATCATTAGCATTATTATAATCATCATAATTATCATTATTAATATTTTACCATCATCAGCAGCGCTTCCGCCCCCCCCCCCCGTTGTATTATCAGTGATGAAAAATTCATTGCCCAAACTCCACTTCCAAAATTATATCGAAAAGATGCAAACAGAGGAGGATAAGAGAGAAAGGAGAGAGGATAAGGAGTATGTTTGTTTAATTCTTGAGTTAGAACATTTTGTAGAACCTTGGAAGAATTTTTGTGGAGGCGCCTAAGTAATTCATAAAATACACAAGAAGTTGCGTGATAGATAACATTACCGAGTTGCACTAAGACAAGTTGCAAATTACATGGTGCGATACACTTGATTCGTGATAAATTGCAATTAAACTGACACTATTTGCCTACACGCGATGTATAAAGATGGGAAAAAGTATGAATGAGTATCGAATACTCTGTTGTTACTAATTCTCATTTATACCTTTATCCCAGTGATATTTGTTCATATAAAACGTATTTATAGTCACCCTTCACATCTAACATTCACGCATGGCTATTTATATGCACACTTGACTACAGTACTTCATAATTTTAAATGCTCAAATTATTTCATTCCGTCTGCAAGTGCGGTGAGCGCCCTTACCCAACTATTACACTCAAGCACATGTTGGTTCTAATGCTACATGGAGTTTAACTGATACACACGAGAGACAGCAACGGACACGCGACGAACTTCTCGCGGCGACAAAACAACGAATGAAAACTTTTACTGAAGCGAATGG